TGGATGATCCAAGTGTGAAGGGGTATCAGTTAGGTGACTAATAATGCATTGATTTGAATGGTAAAACCAAAGTTTGAGCATAATTCAATTTTTCAATGAGAATCAAACACATTTCATAAAACTCTTTCAAAATTACAAATGCATCCTTAAATGATCTAAGAGCTTGGTAGTGAGTTATGCTTGATCTAAAATCTTTAAAGGGTTTAGAAAAGAAAGAACAAAAGCTATCATAAGCATTCTTTTCATTACAAGCTCAAGTTTAATTGAGAAGAAAGGGAAAATTTCCTTAAGTGATTAAGCCCACCCCTATGAGTGATAAACCACATAAACCTCAAACATAACATTAGAGAAGTGACCACTTGCCTTATCATGGGTTAATTAAGACATTGGAATTGATCACAACTCAAAAATATTGAAGTGAAAATCTAACTTAACCAGGTTTGATCAATTCAACAGTATGGTAAGACCAAATGAATTTGAAATAGTCCAGGAGATTCTAAAGTTGTTAGGGTCACTCCCCGAGCACCTTTACAAGGTTTTGGACATTTTAGAAGACATTTGGGTTTAAATAAATTTGTTGAAGAAAATCATTCTAAAAACCTTAAGAACCCACCAAGATATGATTCAGGACCCTTTTAACTTAAATATTTAATGAAAACTCCGTCACTATTTATCCTACAGTAAAACCAATACTCTAGGGTATGAATCTTAGATATGGTATTCAGGCCCTTGTGGGCACTTGGGAATAATTTAATGCCACATATGGATCATCGGGCTTGTGTAAGTCGGAGGGCTGGTGGCGAGGGTGGTGAGGATAATGCTTATGTGTGCTAAAAAGCTGGATATTAGAATAGTATCTCGTACCTCAACGACCTTCAGGGAGAGGATATGACCCATGATACTATTCCCCAACTTTTGGTAAGAAGTTGCCCCTAACTTTCTTAGGTTGTCGGTAGGTCTAGTTCGATCGAGGTGATTAAATTATGGACTATCCAATTTTTGTCAAAATATTTACATACAACAAAAATATCTTTTCTTGTGACTACAGTACATTTGACTACTAAGTAAGTTCTACATGTATGAAAAATTAATGAGGATGTTACCCTATGAAGGTCCATTTGTTAATCATTTTGATTAACAACTCTGAGCCCTCACCTTTACCAAATTTTTATATTTAATCTTAGTCTTCTATATGTAACAATGAGTTTTGTTTTACTTGACTCATGTTTTCTTACAATTTACTTAAGTTTTCTTGTGGCAGATTTTCTTACGATTTACTTGAGTTTTTCTCGTGCCGAATTTTCTTACGATTTGCTTAAATTTCCTGTATTTGCTTGAATTTCATGCACGTTGCTATATTATTTTTATTGTATTAACCCTTTTGCAGCAGTAGCAGAGGCATAAATATGCAATTTTGTGTTTTATTGTCGTGCTTCTCTTGCTGCGCTTTCACTAGTTATTTTTAGTCATGTATGTCTCTGCATACTTGTCAGACCTTTAGGATAGAGAACAGTAGTAATAGATCACTACAACACATGAAAGAACACATCCTCTAATTTTAACAACAATAATCAAAATTAAAACACAAGACATAAAACCTTAAACCTGGAGTCACCGTCAGCAACGAGCTTGGAGCAAACTTCTTGGGTAGCATGACGAGGATGCAAGCGAAGGACAAAGGACTTCCGCTGACGAATCAAGGATTGAATTCAGTAGAATATAGAATGTATAGAAGAACATCTTTGAAAGAGCAAAAAAGATCTTTGCCAACAAAACTTTCCTTAGGCTTAAATAATAAATCCGTATGAATTTGAGGTTATCCGCCTAGTGCAACATAAATCCTCATCTTATCCTTTAGGCTTTTTCACAATCATGTTGTGCAATATAAGCCCTAACTTTCTTAGGATTCTGAGGTCATCATCTGATACGACATAATTCCTCCCATCATTGAGGCTATTTGCATGATCGATTATCATGCAGATGTAAGCCCTAAATGATAAATTGACAGGATTTAAACATAAAATAATATCATCTTCAAAACAAAAAGCCAAAATTTGAGGTTATCCGCCTAGTGCAACATAAATCCTCATCTTATCCTTTAGGCTTTTTCACAATCATGTTGTGCAATATAAGCCCTAACTTTCTTAGGATTCTGAGGTCATCATCTGATACGACATAATTCCTCCCATCATTGAGGCTATTTGCATGATCGATTATCATGCAGATGTAAGCCCTAAATGATAAATTGACAGGATTTAAACATAAAATAATATCATCTTCAAAACAAAAAGCCAAAAAATATGATAGTTTGGGAAGTCACCGAGGTTCTCTTCAGGATCCGTGACATGCCTTGCTTTTCCCTCCTTTGACTTCTAAAATAACTGTTCTTATTTGGTTTTTTCACACTTAATTTCCCTATTTCCAACCTTGAGAACCTAAACCTTAAAATCTTGAAGATAAAGATCTCAGATCATTATCAAGAGTTCTCTTAAATGACTTTGGTCATTTAGGATGTAATTAACTATAACTGCTTGCCTCTATAAGGAATTAAAAAACACATGTAATTTAAACCCTATTTAATTTTTAATATTAGGTAGAGAAACTTATCGGTCATACATAAAAGATTTGCAGATCAAATGAATGCCATAAGTTCTTTTAATTTATTTAATTGAGCCCATTGTCTAGTAATGTGTTTATTCTTCGAGATAGGTGCATTGCTTGTAGTGTTGTGCTCAGTTATTTAAACTATTAAAATGTATGAGATCTTTTTAGTCTCATATTTTCAAAAATTAAAATACTATTTTCCAAATAAAAAATTATATATATTAAATTAAATTGATTTTTTTTTCAAAATTAAGGTAATAGAATCAAAATTCGGACTGACAGTGGGTTGTGCCTTTTACATTGGTAATCAATTTAGGATGTCATTTTAGTAATGCTCTCTTTTGGGAGTTATGAATTTTTTTTCAAAGAAGCTAAAGTACACAACTATAATTAATGTAGTGATAATAAATGGGATTGAGGAAAAACTAATTCATACTCTCAATATGGTTGTGTAAAAGGAGCAACTTGCAAGAATTGTGTAAAGATTATGCGAATCGTCTTGGTGAATTGATCATTCATATTCATAAGTTACTTGTAATTAACCTATTTATTTAACTTGTTACCTTACGAACACTACATTGTATACATTTGGATGTTATAAGGCTTAGTTTATAGTCTTGAACATTTATATATTCTCTACATCTTGAAGAATATTGAATAAAATATTATGAAAGGAAAACACCATGATCCTACTATAAGTACAAATCAAGCCTAAATTAATTATAAAGAAAAAAAAAGAGTGATAGAGAGTTTGGGAGGAATCCAAATGCCCTTGCCCAATCAATAACCTTTATTCATTAGTGAAGATCGATATATTTTGTATAGATCTACTAGTAATAAAAGTACATTAATAGTTTCAATATAATCAAATTTTTATTGTTACTTTTGTTATGAGCAAATTTGGATGTTGGCTATTCACTTTGTTAGATTTTCAACTAAGTTTTTTCATATAACCCTTGATAAATTTTACTATAGAGAAACCGTAGTCGATAAGTGAGCACTCGATACAAGTATTCAAGTTTTTTGGTAGAGTTACATATATAGGTAGGGAACTTCATTAGTAAACTTTAATTAGTTCAAAATTCAAATACAAAGGGCTGAGTATATCTTCTCTCCTTGATTAGATGATGAAATTTGGCTACAAGCAATTTCAAGTTTTGGAGCACCAAATTTCATGCAAATAGAATTGATTCAAGATTAAATACATGTTAAACCCAATCCAAAATTTTTTATGACTTTCTCAATCCGGCCTAGATGATTATGAGAACACAAGCATCACTCTTCTAATGCCGGTTATAACAAATTACAAAATTTGGTTTACTCATTTTTTAAAATTGGGCTCTAATTAAAGTTTTATGTGGTTTTTTAGGAGTGCAGTATTACTCATTTGAATGAATAACACTACATTTCCAAAATTAAATCCTTAATTTCTTACATGATGTATTAATCATGTGAATGATTACATGACTACCTTAATTTTTTTTGTACAAGTTCTATTTTTGTTAACATTAATTTTTTCATTTTTTTTAAGTTATAATTTAAATTTTCTTAATGTCACATATTTTAGACAACATTTTTATGTGGTGAAAAATGCTTTGTTATCCATCCCATACTTTTAAAAATAACTTGGATAGTGTTTTTAGGCAATATTTTAATAAAATAACTATAAGTCATATCTTAATTAGGTGCCCTCTAGTTTAGACCAACAAAGAGTTCCATCAATGCTTTTATGAATTTTGCCACATAAAAACAAGCTATTTAACTACCTACTCATGTGCTAGACACCTCTTTTGTACAAAATGCTGCATGTGCCAATGGAGTGAAAATGTCTTGATCTTGTTTGTGAAGAGTATATTTTTTTATAATGTATTGGCATTAGATGTATCTATTTAAATTCAGGTCCAACCATTGGGCTTAAATAACTCTAGTGTTAACATTCAGTTATTGATAAAAAATTAGATGTAATAGAAAAGATAAATAATAAATTAAATGTATGATAAAAAATAAAAATAAAATCTTTGTTAATAAAAAAAATACTGTAGGAGTAATATCCACTGATAAAATTGTGTTTGTGATGAAAAAGTTGACCACTCTCAATTATTCTCTAATTTCACCTATGATCGCTGAGGCATCTTCGACTCACATATATACTTTTTGTGCAAGAAATGTTTTGCATGATCTTTACATGATCAAAATTATTCGTGAACATCTTTTTCTGCAAGAAATGTTGCGTGTGTCTCTCATCTTTTCTCAAATATTGAAAAGAAAAGAAAAGAAAAATTAGTGTAACTATTCTATTTTTCCCCTAATATTCTAGAAACTCTTTTTTCACCATGGCAACTTATAATTTTTATTTCAATTTCACATTGGCGGGGGTGATTACAAAAATCATATAAGATCCTACGTGCAGTGGAGTCCACCATGAATTCGGCCCCCGCCCTCACACCAACGCGGGCGTGAGAAATCAGCGGAAGCCTTCGGCCCCCACCCGCAACTAAACGTGGCCGTGGAAACCAGCGAAAGAGTCGCAGAAGAGTCGTTCTCCCCCTTCGAATCTTCCCCTATTTTCTCTCATCCATTACCATTATTTTACTCAACCTTTCGCCTCCATTTCCGTTCCTGCAAGCTTCATAAAAACTCATCATGTCTTTCTCTTTCCTCTCGATTTGATTGATGGTGTCTTCGGGATCGGAATACTAAGGGGCGAGATGCAGCGGAAGGAGATGCATCCGCTGTGCTGCATCTCGATTGACTGCCCTGGGATTGGCGACAGATCGCCGGACCCGCCTGAGTGGGAACCATCTTCTGAAGAGCGGGGTGGGCCGGAGGGCAATGCCGGCGGGGAAGGAGAATCGGATGTCAGCGTTGCTGGCGTTCTCTACAAGTGGACTAACTTTGGCAAGGGCTGGCGATCGCGATGGTTTACGCTTAGGAACGGTGTACTCTCCTACTCAAAGATCTGTCGGCGGGAGGATCGGTTCTACGTCAGCGGTCAAGTGCGGATAATCGGTGCCGCGTCCGCACGGCTTTCGCGCTCGATGGAGGACGGCGCCGTGGGGAGGAGGCTGAAGAATCCGGTCGGTGTTGTTTATCTCAAGGTGGGCGTCGAATACTAATACGGTCGTGTTTTTTAGCTTGCTACATAATTATCGGTTTTAGGGGCGAATCGTGAGAGGGCTATAATCATGTAGGAAATAACGCCATAGGGCCGGATCGGATCTGCTTTTAGCCCCTTTTTGAAGAGTTTTCTAAATGTGAGGACTTTTGATGCACATAGACCTTAATCCTTTCCAATTCTGGATGGTCTCTTCTCTATCCGATCCCCGAATACCAGAGCGCACGGCTTGGACCTAGAAACGCGATTCTTTGTCGTCCCTTTCTCCTACCCCATCCTGCCGTTAGTGGTTTCCATCCATATTGGGAAAAGGTGGGAGTATCCTTCCCGTAGGTCACCCAAACTGGCGGATTTTCGTTTCTTTGGCCGTGGTTATGTTGTCAATATTGATTATTTATTTTTTACCCTCTGGCCCTTGTTTAATTTACTGTTTCGTCCGGGCATCCGCTAGCTGTTAATCTGGAAGTGGGTCACATCACGCAGGAGAGCAATCGCTAGAACAAAATAGGGCAGTATTCGTGATGGCTGACGAGACGCTCAAGTCCATATCAAAAGGCGTGGTCTTTGGGGTGTAAGCGTACCGCCTCGAGTAAGTACTTGTATGGCTCCTTCAAATTTTTAAGCATGTTCCTTTTTGGGGTCCTCTATTAAAAAGGCGTCCAGGTAGAAGAATATTATCTTGCACCACGAGACGTTTTCGAGTCTCAACTACTCTGCACCTTTTTTTCTGGCTTTCGATGTCCATGTGGTTCTTGCTGGAATCGTACTATAGGAAAGGGCTTCTTGGACAACTTGCCATTCATCTAGCAGAGTGTTATGTGATTCTTACCACATAACTCGTCCCCAGTCTGCAAATTTAAGAGGGAGAGGTAGAACTATGGCAGATTTTGTTGTTTTAGTCGTTTCTTGTACTGGTTTTGCGGCTAAACTGCAATCTGATAACTTTCTTGTCCAACCTTCAAATTTCTTTTTTTATTTTTTATTTTTGCCATCTGGTGGAGAATGTTTTCACACGCGCTACTTTATTTTTTCCATTGCAATTGATTTTCTATCTACAAGCCTTGGAGCTGGTAGACTTAAAAGTTTAAAAAGAGACTTAACTAGTTTGGTGGCACCGCCTCGGCCCTGTTTCTCGCATGCATCGCGCTTTCTTGTCGTCGCCTCACATCGTGACGAGCCGTTTATTTGGCTTAACAATATAGGAAAAGCGCAGTATTTCATCATATCTGGCAGTCAAAAATCAATTAATGGGATAACGCTGTTGTTGAAGTCTCAAACTTTAGTGCATAAATTTTAGGACACAATGATTTAAAAGCTTGACGATGCAAATTAGGGCTTGCAATAGCAGCTGATCGAAATTATGCATACCATTAATTTGTAGTCATGCTCCAATAAAAATTGAAGTGCTTGTTGTATGCTCCATTTGCCAAAAAGAAGTGTGGTGACCTACATTATTTGGCGTTGCATTCTACAAAATCAACGAGATCAGGTCAGAGGCTCCTTTACAGCCATGCGTGTTTTTCTAGAAGAAGGTCCAGATCTTAATAGCATGAAAAGTGTGTACTTCTAGAGGATCACATCATTTCTTAAATCTCTGCTTTGTCTTTATGAATCCAACGATGATTCTAAATAATGAAAGCTTACTAGAAGGAAGAACTCACCTTTGCTCCTATCAGTTGTCAAATTAGAACTTTTTCCATATTATGAATTAAGAAAAAGAACTTTGTAGATTTGTGAACCAATGATGATGATTGCACAACCTCGACTTTGATTAATAATTGTGTTGGTGGTGCATTTGACTGCTGTAGACGTTAAGTATTTTGAAGTTAAAATTACTTGGCACGTCTTCTTGCTTGAGTTTGTCGACAGAGTTATCAGGTCACCTCAAAAGCAGATTTGGTAAAGAGGTTAGTAATTGATTTGTCTGCCATACCATTGCCATCCAAATGAAATTCTAATGTAATAATCGTTTAATGTCTCTAATTGAATAAACAATCTATTAAAATTGTATTCGTCTTAATTTGAATTGCTTGACCTAGCAAGAACAATTCCTAATTTTGCCACACACAAGATAGTATATTCACTTTTCTTTTGTTCAATATCTTAAAATCTTAGCTGTGATGTGGGGTCGTTTCCTAGTTTAGTAGTTATATGAGTTTTGTTTGATAGCTTTACATGAGATGGTATTATATTTTCTTACTGATTATAATGGCAAGCTTGTGATAACCCTTGTTTATTATTCTTGTTTTTGGAGAGTAGTATTTATGAGATGACAATTATATTGATGCCCCAATTAGTTTGGCGATCTTCTTATAGGCATTCTAGATAGATAGAAATTTGTTGTGGTTAGAAGGAAATATTTGCTATGGTTAACTACCTGATAGTCAAATGAACATCCTTTGTGGCAAAGTCATGTTATTGTTGCTGCTCGCAATTGTGACAGTTAGCCTTAACTATCATCTGAATTAATTTTTTGAGGAGAGCCTTCTGTAACAATTCACTTATGCCATTGTAGAGAAGGCTTTAGTTTATGTGGATGAAACTGTCTATAGTGTGTTTAAGATGCTGCTATAATTGGTTGCATCATTATATGAAGAATCAATCAACAATTGAAGTTCAAACTATTACAAGTGATAATTGCCTACTACTGCACCATGTTTCATGTGGGATGAATGTACAAAATGAATAGGAAAATTACCTAGGAGAACATCATTTTCTTGAATATATAGCTTTAAAGTTAGGGTCTTATTTGAGGTGCTTTGAAATCCATGTGATTTTAAATAATGTTTTTGATGCATGCTTTTGGTAGCTACGTTCAAGGTTCACCAAATATTTTATTACTAGATTGATATTTAAGTTTCTCAAGGAAGCATAAAAAGTTTAATATTTGAAGGATAAATTTTCAAAGAAAAGATATTGAGCTAAACTTTAAATTTGCTATTTAAATTTAAATAATAGGAGGGAAAGCAAAATTTTAAATTTATGCAGAGGCAATTAAGGAAACAGTCGTAAAATTACTTTTGTTGTATGTAGTAGCCACCTTTAAAGGAAATATATAAGAATTGCTAACTATTTTCAAAAGATAACTAAAAATTTGAAGTGTAAGAAATTGAGGAAAATGATACCTAACTTAAAGCATGCAGTAATAATTGTAAATGAACATATATTAACTTATTTATTATTATCTTTTTTTTTGGTATAGAGGCCTTAGGATTTAGCAATTAAGGTTGAAATAATTGAATTATTTTCCTCAATTTTTCCCTCTCCCTCCAATTCTTTATTAAGAGGCATACTATTGCCTCTTTTTTTTTTTTATTTTGCATTTGCTCCAAGGAGAAAAGACTCCATATAGCCCTTCTATAAGTATGAGATATTTGATGAATTACTTTTAGCACTTCTAGGTTAAAAGTTTTTTAAACTCGGATTTTATACATTCCAGTTAGCCTTATTATTATCTCTATGATTCAGGTTCTTGAATCAGCATTCATTCTCCATTGATCTTCCTTTATTAAGTTCAGCATTCTTTCCAATGTAGTATAGGTTTTGGAAAATGAATTTTTCTGTCTCCCTACAATTTTGTACAACAATTGAGACCAGAATTTGTTGTTGCATGCCTATAAATCCACATCCACAACAAGAATGGTTGGCAAATATATGGCATCAAATTTTTTAGTTAGATTTCCATAATGTAGAAGTACTAGGTAGTTCAATTGGGTTGATGAATTGCACTACTTTCCTTGAAGAACAACACGTGCAAGAATAAAGGTAGAGATGAAGAGGGAAAGAAGCTATTTGGAGAAAAGCTGTTAAATTGAATTTAGAGTACATTGTTCAATCTTGACAACTTAGTATATTTGCAGAATCCATAACCAAGGACACACCAATGTCATACAAAGGAAATCAGAAAAGTCAATAATTGACCTACAATTGTCAAAAATTGTTTTGTCAGTTACAAACAACAATCAAAATGAATAACTAGATATAAAGTAATATTAGCAAGCTCTTCCTTCATTTTATAACAAATTTACTCATCTTGGTTATTCAACTTCTCCAACGAAAGTTCAATTTGCTTAGATCAGTGTTATTAAGTGCTTGTTTCCAGGTGCGCTTCACATACGATGCGAAGCACGCGATGCCCTCTTTGCCTCATGGTCACACAATATATGTGAAGGAAATGCATGTTTCATGATCAAATGGATAGTTTAGCGAAATGGACAAGTTCATGATTACAACAATAACAAACAATAACAACAACAAAGCCTTAATCCCACTACGTGGGGTCGGCTACATGAATACTTTTTCTCCATTGCGTCCTATTTAGTGTCATATTTTCATTTAGTTCTAATAAATTAAGATAATTTTTTATACAATAAGCCCAAGTCTTCCTAGGTCTACGTCCGCATTTCTTAACATAAGTCGAATCTAAAACATCTACTCTCCTAATCGGATCATCAGAAGGTCGATGCTTAATGTGACCAAACCATCTAAGACGACTTTCCCTAATTTTGTCCGTAACAGGAGCTACACCAACCCTATCTCGGATATAGCCATTTCACAATTTGTTTCTAAGTGTAAAGCCACTCATCCACCTAATCATTCTTATCTCGACAACACTTAACTTAGTATTATGCTCTCTTTTAAAGGCCAACATTCAGCGCCATAGAGCATTTCAGGTCTCACCACCGTCTTATAAAATTTTCCTTTCAGTTTAAGCCGTACTTTTCTATCACACAAAAGGCCCAAAGCATTCCTCCACTTCAACCAACCAACTTGAATTCTATTATTAACATCTCTATCTATATCACCATCGCTTTGAACAACAGACCCGAGATATCTAAATCATTCACACCTTTTAATAATTTGATCACCCTCACCCAAATTTACACTTCTGTCACTAGAGCTACTGCTACTAAAATTACATTCCATGTATTCAGTTTTAGTTCTACTCAAATGAAGGCCTTTAGACTCCAATGTAGACCTCCA